AAATAACATAATAATATATTGACATTGTTTTGGATTAAATTCCATTTGAACCAACTGAAACCACTGTATCAAAACAATTATCATTAACAGTAACTGTTCAAGAGAATGATACCGATCAAAGCGGATATGAACAGTGTATTTGTTTACTTACAACAATCTGAATGAACAGATCCCTTGTTCAGATTTCTTGCTTTTTTTACTTGCTTATAATAGCTCATAATAAAACGGCCCCTCCCCATTTCTCCAAAAATGTATCATCCATACCTCTTTTCTCATTTTCTCAGACTTCCTTGCGTCTTGTCGCATCATATCCACTTTCTGCATGGCATGCTCGAGTTCTTCCTCTTTCTCACGGACCAGCCGAGATGATTTCTGTTTCTGTGACCTCAGGTCAGACAACCTGAATAGAGTGGGTAATAGCATTTCAATCAAGATAAAAACAAGAATATGGCAACATGGGTCTCCCCCGAATGAGAAGCCCTCATCTTGTAATTATATTTAACAAAAGGATGAATGAAAGAAGAAATTTGGAATCAAGTGATAATTTTGATAGTGCATGCTGGTCACCATGGAAACCTCTTCCTCTTCAAAGCAAGAAAAAAGAAATTAAATTAAAAATTTTCGATTTATATAGCAACTCTCCACATAATCATGGTATCCTAACAACCAGAGGACCAATCTCATTCATATGTAATGAGATTCACTATAATGATGACGCATAACTGTTTGTGACTCGTCATTCGTGTCATGACAGATCAGAGTAAACTTCACATTGGAATGAAAAATTATCAACCACTTGTACAAGACATAAAATGTTGCACGTTTTCATTGGTCCAAACTTGATGGTACTCACCTATCATTGAGATCGGAGAACTCCTGCATCGCTAGTTTCCTCTGAGTCTGTGCTTCTTTCAGTTCCTTGGTCTGCGATTTGTACCGGTCGTGCATCTGTTCCAATTCTCGTTGCATTTCTTCTTTTTCAATCTTCAGCCTCTTGTTATCTCTCTCCATCAATTTTATCCGACTGTTCCTGTCACCATCTATGTTTTCCAGTTCTTTCCTAATTGCTATGGCTTCTTTCAAATCCCGCTCCACGTGGTTGGTTTCTGATTGCGATTCTGTGGAAACAAGAGTAAGGTTAGAAAGTGCACAAGTACAAAGCTCAGTGGTCAAATGTACTTTAAAATCGCAACTAATCGAGGGCCGCGACTTACCGAGGGACCACGTGCATTGAAAACATATAAAAAGCACATATATACCCTTGGTTTAGTTAATTGAAAGATTAGAAACATATTTACAAATTGTATGATGTATCATATGTGTCAGGCAGTATTCGAATAAAATCATGACTATGCTTGCTGTAAACATTGCAGTGATGGTTGTTTACTTTGTTTGTGTCCGATACTATGAGGGTCGTTTGCTGTTGCTTGCGACTTCGACGGTAACAGCTTCCAAAATAAACCAGTTTCATCGCAATTATAAACTTGTTCATCAAAAAACCACCTTCATAGATAATTTCTCTCAGTTTTTCGGGAAAAGTTCTGACAGCGTCCATGTTCGCAGATCGAGCTTCGCCTAGGTTTGAGACTGAGTGTATAGCGTGTTTTCTTTGCCATCGCAAGAACCACCCTGAAATGGCCTCAAATTCAAGGTCGTCATATCTGAGTTGTGTGCTTTGCATTGGGTGATGGGACCAGAGAGTGGAGTTCCGGTAAACCGTTCTTGAAGAAATGTAAACAGCTTTATCGATGTCGTCATTGTCGGACAATTTCGCACGTTTTTCTGTTCAGTCCCGCCTCTTGGTCAACTTTGAAAACGAATTTACTCTTCATTTTTTACCCACCCACGAATAGTGGGCTCATCCATTGCTAGACAAGGTCGATCACTGTGAGTTTATGGCGTACGAACAGGCTGGATAGCTTTCGCTTTGACATGCTGCTCAGTTGAGAAATAGAGATCAGATAATGAATTCAACTCATTGTAGTGAGGTTTTATAGAAGTATACCAAAATGGGACCGGCCAAGAAGCACGTACGGTCACTACTCGACACCCCAGTTGACACCTTGAGTAAGGCCACCGTCACCCATTGCATCTCAGCAATTGACGGACAGTAAGTGTTAAGTTGTCTCTTTAACGGTTAGTTAAAAACACTATGAGACGAAACATTAGCCTTTGTACTTCAAAACTGCTGTCAAAACACAATAGAAATTTTGGGAGCCATCCAACTACCCGCGACTTAGCCGAATTGCGACTTACCAAGGCGCGACTTAGCGATGGATCACTGTATTTACAACAAAATCCCCAAAAATTACCTTGTATTTTCTTTTTCAACAATAACACTTCATCTCGGAGTCTACGCATTTCAGGTTCTGTTGCCATGGAATTGCTTATCCTCCTGCCAGGTGACGATGGAGCTGCATCCAAGGCATTGCTTTGGGATGTTTGATGAAGGGCTCGGGTAGTATCTAGTAGTAAAAACAAAACTTGTGGTCTTAGAATTATCCGGAGAATTCACATCAGTGATTATTAGCCAATTTCAAGTGTATAAAATTGATGTTTTTTTCACACAACTTTCATCATAAATCCTTATGACTTGTAATCACCTATTAAATAAATCAACTACAATGAGTGTCTGGAAAAACTGATACAGCAAAATGTACTCACCTTGGAGTTTCCTTGTTAACTCTGACTTCTCATTTTCCAATCGTTTAATTCTCCTTTCGTACGCTTCAACCGCTAGAGTACCGATATTTTCATCTTCTATTGTTACACGCTCGGCGTTTACCAGAGAGCCCAAGTCACTCAGCGAACTGCAGTAAAAAAAAAAAAACTGAAACTAAGTAACAATTTCTCACAGACAGCACTGAAGAGATTTGTCAATGATAGGCACCATATGGTGGTGGGAAAAAAAACAAAGTGGGTTTTGTGAAGTGCCTGCCTTTGTAGAAAATATCTGACAGGAGCTAATGGTTTGATAGAA